TATTTATTAGTTACAACTCAAGAATTTTTAACTTATGGTTATTAATTAGTAATCACCAATAACTTTTTATTTTCCTTTCTTTTATAAGGTTGTAAAGTTTTGCTCATTAAAAACATTAATGTATTTGAAGAGATTTGTAATTTAAATATGAAGAGTTAATATAAATGTTATAATAGATATTTTAGTGCTTTTATGTTATTAAAAGTTATACTGTTTATTTTTCATATTTGTTTATTATTCGTTGTATATATATATATATATATATATATATATATATATATATATATATATATATATATATATATATTAATACAAATGTTATAATAGATGTTTTTCTATTTTTATGGTACTAAAAGTTGCAGTTCATATTTTTGTTCATACGTTTTGTTACCCGTTATATTATCATTCATTTGATATATAATTTACACAATTTTAAACGGTTTATAAAATTATCAAATAATTGTATATATCACAACGACTTAAAAATTAAACTATAATATTTAATACAACTAATATGTTAACTATATGCTTGCTTTACTACTAACACTAGCGAATGTCTGCGTGTTGCGCAAAAACACCTATATAGTTGAAGTTTTTACAAATATATGTTTTTTTTTTTTATAAATATAACAGTAACGTTGTTGTTAAATTTGATATAATAATTTTTATACTAAATTGATATAATATATTGATTATTTTGAATTATATGATAATTTATACATATATTATAACTTTTTAATCTCAATCGTTTGAATAACTTGTACCTGCGAGTTACACATGAATAAAATTAAACATAATATACAGTTTAATGTTATTTATAGTTGTTATTATTGTTAATTAATTTTTTAAAATTTATTTGTTTAATGTTTTAATTTCTATCATTATAATTATTTAAAACATCAAACATTGTTTTTTGATTTTATAGGTAACAATATAATCATTTTTATACAATTATTTTTAACTATTGTTATTGTAAATTATTTTAAGCTATTTTTTTGGAAATTTTTAACGATTATAAAAAACATTTAGGAAATATTTTAGTTAAATTGAGATTATAATTTAGGTGTTGTTTGTTTTTTTTTTAGGTAAAATATCTGCAGTCTGCGGACCATATCTTTAGACCTCTGCAGTAAAAGAGGTGGATCAAACGTTTGCAGTCTGAAAAAAGAAGATTGTTTGTTTTTTTTAACATCTGTGGGCTACTAAAATAAACTGAAATCTAAATAAACTGATTTTTTTAAACTTCAAAGTGATTTTTTAATATTTTTATGACTTTGTTATAAATAATTAACGAATCCAGATCAACTTTTATGTATTATTGTATAAAAAATAAAAATAAAAATAAAAATGGTATAAGTTAACATATATATTTGATAAAAACCAACAACTTTGGTTGCAAAATTATAACTGAACATTATAATTAGTGATCAAAGAATTTGATACATAAATGGATGAAAATAAACTTCGATTTTTTCAATTAAATCCATTAAAAACGTACCATAAATATTTTATTGAGAAATTGATGATACTGTATTAAATAATGTTTTACAAAATTTGACAAAAAAAATATAAGAATATATTATGATTTTTTTATATATTTATATAAACAACTTTAACGACTATTATTGTAATAAATCGTTATTCATAAATTTGTCAAAAATATCATGTTTGTATCATCGAACGTTTTCCTTTATATTTTTTATTTTTTTTTTCAAACTGTTTATCATTAATAAAGTTGTAAAAAAATATAAATTAAAAAAAACTTGAAAAAAATAAAGATATATAGCTAGAAGATGTCTGAATACGTTAGAAGACTCTGGTCCATATCTGTGCCAAGAAGAGGGCGCGCATACATTTTTAGGTCTGCAGTCTTCAAAAAAACAAACAGTCTGCAAATGCTAATGTTTGCGCATGGTCTACACGACACAGATAGAAGAGGTCACGCAGATCTATAGAGAAAAAACAAACACTGCCTTAGTTTTTGCATTTATCACTATAATTTATCACTTTTACTTATTTAAAAAATGTTCTTTTCTTTTTCAAGTGGAATTGAAATTTATATTTAAGTTGACATTGTAATATGTAGAAACACCTATATAGTTGAAGTTTTAACAAATATATATATATATATATATATATATATATATATATATATATATATATAAAATATAACAATAACGTTGTTGTTGAATTTGATATAATAATTTTTATACTAAATTGATATAATATATTTATTATTTTGAATTATATGATAATATAAACATGTATTACAACTTCATAATCTCAATCGTTTGAATGACTTCTATTCGCGAGTTGCACATGAATAAAATTAAATATAATATATGGTTTAATGCTATTTATAGTTGTTGTGTTGGTTAACTAATTTTTTAAAATTTATTTGATTAATGTTTTAATTTCTATCAATATAGTTATTTAAAACATCAAAGATTTTTTTTTATTTTAAAGGTAACAATATAATCATTTATATAGAGTTATTTTTAACTACTGTTATTGTAAATTATTTTAAGCTAGTTATTTGAAAACTTTTTCGATTATAAAAATACATTTGGGAAATATTTTAGTTAAATTGATATTACAATTTAGTTTTTGAATTTATCACTACAATTTATCACTTTTAACTATTTACAAAATATTATTTAGTTTTTTAAGTGGAACTGAAATTTATATTTAAGTTGATATTGTAATGTTATATTTAAGCTCACAATTTAAGTATTTTGTCAAAACTGTTCAAAAGTTGTAGCTTTAAACTGATAATGGTTTACATATAATAACATATTAAATCTAATAAATTAATTATCATATGTTAAAATTTAAAGACATAACTTTATAAGTAGAAGTAAAGATATTATTTTAAAATTGAAATTTAGTTTATTATGATTACACTTTAGGTTTGATATTTATTTAACCTTATTAACTAACTTATAATTATTATTAGAAAGACACTATAATTTACCACTTTTAACTATTTACGGAATATTCTTTGCATTGTATAAGTTAAACTAAAATTTATATTTAAGTTGACCCTATAATGTTATATTTAAATTAATAATTTAAGTATTTGATACAAATTATTCCAAAACTATATCTTTAAAATGATAATGGTTTACATCCAACAATATATTAAAACTAATAAATTAAGTATAATATGTTATAAGTTAGAAAAACCTAACTTTATTAGTAGAAGTAAAGATATTATTTTAATATTGAAATTTAGTTTATATATGATTACACTTTAGGTTTGATAATTATTTAACCTAATTAACCAAATTATAAATATTATTAGAAAGAAATTGAAAAGTCATGGGAGTTTCAAATGAATGTGGTGAAAGGAAAAAGTATATGGGGGTTTCAAATGAATGAGATTCAAGAAAAAATGCTAGCTTTATAAGTATGTATGATTTTGTTTCAAAGTAAAAATATTAAATAATAATTTGGTAAAAGTTATTATTTTAACTATCTAATTCTATTCCCGTGCAAACGCGCGAGGATTCACCTAGTTTTTTATAATCCATATTATAACAAAAGAGTAATTTTATTCTCCTTTTGACATGTGTTATCATATTACGTCTAATAATTAATATATATTTTATTTTTCTTTTGTTATGTGTCACTATATTATATCTCTAAATTAATGAATGTCACTTGTCAACTTATTGATCATCCATTTTAAATTTCAAATTTTAAATTTTCCACTCTAATTACATTAAATTAATAACATTAAAATAAAATTAACACAAATTATAAAGTGATATAATTTTACATATTTATTTAAATCAATGATTATAATTTTATATAACTAAAAGAAATCTCTTAAGTAATAATTTATTTAAAATAAGTGATTAATAATTTTGAGTTTACTATTAAAGTTTAATTAATTTTGGAACCATGGTTTTCACATATTATAAACTAATAACTCAATAATTTAAAAAAATTATTTATACTATCTTTTAAATATAACAATTTCATTATACAAAAAAGACAAAATTGCAAAAGTGGTCCCTGTGGTTGGTGAATTTATGCGATTTTGGTCCAAAATGATATCTTGGTGCACCACAGGTCCAAAATTGTATTTTTCTATTGCTTTTGGTCCCTGGCATTAACTTTCATCCATTTGTGCCGTTAGGTGCAATAAAGACAAGGGTATTTTCGTCTTTCCGCCTACAAGGACCATTTTTACAACCTTATTCCTAAAAATCACAATTTCTCCCACCAGCGTTTGGTACTACTGCCTTCATTGCTTGAATCATTTTATCTTCAAATAATGAATTGATTTTATATACTTTCTTCGTTTTTGGACGCGATTTACAGATCAGAAGCAAAATGAGACTCACGATTTGAGTCTTGTGGTCTCTATTTAGTCCCAACGATAAACAAGAATTACCAGCGGGGTGGGTCGTCTGGGTGGTTGCTCCGACTGTCTCGTCGCCCCTATCTACAGGTCAAGGGATTTTCGATCGTCATTTGCTCGAGAATAGGGCGAACATCAGCAGAAATCGAAAAGGTTCCAGAAGCGGTTGACGATTGCGAAGGGATGAGGGCTTCGATTTCCAGCGGGCTCCCTTTGGTGCGTTTGGTTCGTCGTTGGCAGCCTCAAATTGAGGAAGGAGTCTTGTAATAGGAACTGTAATTCTTTCCTTCCGATACTTACTAATCTCTTGAAAAACTTGATGAGTTTCAACCGATGGTAATCCATTGATGACAATATCAGCATCCCAAACAGCTTCCCGTAAATTCGTTACTACTTTCAAAGGACTAAGTGGAGTATGGATCATATTCAAACAAAACCCATGTTTCAAAATCTCATCTACGTACAATACTAGATCGCCTAATCTTGCTTCAACGTATTTCAAATACGCACATCCTCTAATCAATAGTCTTAACACGTCTTCTCGTGTGTTGATTACATCGAATAAATGTTGCGATGTGGCTCAATCGACTGACCTACATGCTCGTCTCCAAATCCTGATTTGAACTTTATCTCAAAGATGACCATAACCATCTTGTAACATTGCTGCAAACACACCGCTCCAAGCACCAGCTCCAACGCTCACGATTCTTAAAGGATCATCGTCTGTTTTACCCAATACGTTACGAAGCTCGTCGAGTTTTTCCTCTAGAGACCCGTTGTTGATTTGGACTAAACCATTCACGTAAGCATTGTTTGTCGAGGTCGATCCCTCGATTTCTGCTCCGACCATCGTTTTCTTGCACAAACCTCGATGAATTTGATTTTTCTGAATTGGGGTTTGGGTTGATTTGTATCGAGTGAGATCTTCAATTACAGATGATGGTGTATAATTTCTATAAGAAAACGACGAAAAGTACAGCGGTGGAGGTGAATATGAGTTTTGTAATAAATGTAACACATTTAACATCTACAAGAAGGTCGGCTGAAGTAAACCCATCAGGGAATTCAGTTTGAAACGATGAAAACTGCAAGACTCCTTCCTCGATCCGTCACTTGGGCACGATCAAGATCGAGCATGAAACTGCAACTGTTCTTCTACTTTTCTCGATTCCCTTGATTATATATATATATATATATATATATATATATATATATATATATATATATATATATATATATATATATATATATATATATAGGTTTGGTTCATGATTTTTTTGGAAACAGGTTGCAAAAATGGTCCTTGTAGGTGGAAAGACGAAAATACCCTTGTCTTTATAGCACCTAACGGCACAAATGGATGGAAGTTAATGTCAGGAACCAAAAACAATAGAAAAATCCAATTTTGGACCAATGGTGCACCAAGGTATCGTTTTGGACCAAAATTGCGTAAATTTACCAACCACAGGGACCATTTTTGCAATTTTGTCTAAAAAAAAAAAAAAACATTAGCCCCCTTGGACATTTAACGGTATCGCCCACTGTGGACAGACCTACTATCCAAATAGGAGTCGGTACTCCGGCATCAAAATGTAAGTAACCGACAACAAAAATTAAAATCAGATGATCCAAACACGCTATATCATCATAAACCACCTAACTGTATTTTTGTCCAGACATTACAACTTCTGAGAGACAGATTCCGAGCTTGCATGGAGATTGAATCCTCCCCTTCAACGTCATCGTCGGCATTGCATTCCTCCGATCAACATCACGTTCCTCACAAATGGCTCGAGTAAGTACTCATCCGTTCGGTCATACCCTCATTCGTCTTTCAGCTACGGCTCACATACCCAATTCACCTGAATTCAATTAGGGTTCAGGATTCGCTGAAGAAGAAATTAGTCACCGAAGATGATTACACCTGGAAATTAGCGGAAACAGGAGAGGGTTGCGGAGTAGAATTGTTGAAGTACATCGGCGGAGTTGATATAAGTTTCTCCAAAGATGATCCATCAGTCGCTTGCGGAACCCTCGTTGTTTTGGATTTCAAAACTCTCGATGTTGTTTATGAGGATTCGTCTATCGTAACCATCGATGTTCCATATGTTCCTGGCTTTCTTGGCTTTAGAGAGGTGTGTTTTTAATTCTCCTTCTTTATCGATTTTCAGGTTCCCCAAACTTTTACCGTAATTCGATCAGAAAATGAAAATACCTTTTTTTAAAAATTCGCCTTCACTTTCATGGATTATATAGCAATAGCAACCAAAATGATGTCATCATTCAATTCGAGAAATATATAATATACTATTCCATTCATTATGCAATAAGCCTTATAGCTAATATGTAAAGCTGTGTAATAACTTACGTTTTTATTATAATCAGGCTCCTATATTTCTAAAACTATTGGAGAAAATGCAGAATGGTTCTCATCCTTTCTACCCTCAGGTAGTTTTTGTCTTCGATTATACTTTTTTTTTTTTTTCTGCAACATGGGAGTTAATGATAAAGCTACTTCCCTTAAATTATTTTGTAGACCATGAAATGCAATTTTTTTGTTTTTGTTTTTTTTTTTAATACTCAGTTATTGATGATTGATGGAAATGGCATACTTCATCCTCGAGGCATGTGTTTCTGTTAAGCTTTTCTGTAATCTATTATGGTGAACACTGAACTATGCTTTGGTGAATTTGCTATTAAGTAAACTGCATTTACTGAACTGTTTTTTGAATTTTTGGTGTGTAGGCTTTGGCTCAGCTTGTCATCTTGGGGTTCTGGTTAATCTTCCTACAATTGGTATAGGGAAGAATGTAAGTATTCAGGAAATAGCAATGTACTTTCGTTTATTTGTTTATTATAGTTTATAACATCCTACTTCCATTTATTTTATTATAGCATTCTACTTTTAACTCTTTTATGTTATTTTAAAAAAAAAAAAACATGAAAATTGAGCTACGATTTGATCACTTTTTGTGTGTATTTTCAGTTGCATCATGTGGATGGTCTTACTAACTCAAAAGTAAGGGAGCTGTTTGAAGCTGAAGAGAATTACAACATAGACTTCATTTATTTAATTGGGGACTCAGGGAACACTTTAGGAGCTGTGAGAATTTTAAATCTATAATTTAATTCTTTTTTAACTCTTTAATGTTTATTGAAATTAATGTTTATCATCTTGTTTACAATGTGACTCATTTATAAATTATAATCCCAATTAGTAGCCAATGAAGAATCTCGATGGACGATTTTACCCCTCTTAACTAACTAAATAAAGGGTAGTTATTTCCTACATTTTTACTACACAGAATCAATTATATTTTCATCATTAAAAAGACAAAATTGAAATTGTTCAGCGCAATAACAGTATATAGTTTATAAAACTTATATGATCATAACTACTTTATATAATTTAACAAATTAGGTAATAGATTTCTTATGTACATCGTAAGGTTAAGCCATTTTTTTTATATACAATATGCAAAACAAAAAGTCAAAAACAAAAAACTAGATAACACTAAGTGCTAAATGCAATAAATCGCAACGTCCTTTTATTTATTTGTATATTACACCGTTCTTCTTTAACTCCTTTCTATTACAACAATGTACTTTCACCTTTTCTTATTAAGGCGTTATACTTTTAATCTTTTTATTATTATTATTACGACATTATACTTTGAAAAATCTATCCATTTTGATGACACTAGTGTTATAATTGGTTAGATTTTTCAAAGATTTGAAAGTAGGATGTTGTAATAAACAAATCGATGAAGAAGAATATGTTAAAATATTGAAGTTTATTTATAATTTATCCTCTTTAATTTATTTATTTATTTGTTATGTAGGCATTACATTCAAGTAAAGGATCATTTAAACCAATATTTGTTTCAATAGGCCACCGTGTATCTTTGGCTTCTGCTGTTGAAGTTGTTAGAAGAACATGCAACTACCGTGTCCCCGAGCCCATTCGCCAGGTCAGCAAGCTAACATATATTATTTTTTTTCCTATTATAGCATTGTACTTTTAAAATAGCAATGTACTTTGAAATAACAATGTACTTTCATTTACTTGTTTTTTTATATAACATCCTACTTTCATTTCTTCCTATTAAAGAAAAAACAATGACCAAAATTAATATATGAAGGTAATTAAGTTTATTCTATGATATATAAATATGTAATATGTCATTTTCCTTGTGTCACTCGTACCCATATTTAATATTTATAAATCATCAGTAATAAAATTGTAAAATTAAGACTAGATTTTTTTTAAAAGAAAAATATGTTACTAATAATTTAACTACTTTTGAGAGTAGGCTGACATAAGATCAAGGGAGTATCTTCGGAAGCATCATTGAATCCTGTTGGGATGTTGTTACTTGTAACTGTACTTTACTTACTTGGTAAGCCCTTCATTACTAGATCTCATCACATATAATTTTTTTCCTTTTTGTTTCTTATTTGTGAAATTTTTTATTGTTTTATTTATATTATTGTTTTTCCTTTTTGTTGGCAAAAATTTTGTTCATTTTGTTACAGATGACACAGTGGCATTCAAATACAATGGAGGTTGGTTTAAATTAACTTTTTAACAATAAAAGGTACATATTATATTAATTGTAATTCTTTATTCGACTAAATTGTACAAATTCACGTGTTGTAAACAAGTGATAGAAGATATGGTCTATTTATTATTTAGGGCCTTATCTTTGTAACGATGAGACTTATGTATGTTGTTCGATCATAGTTTGGCAAATGACACAAAATACATTATGGTTTTATTTTTTATTCTTTTGATTTTCATATTGCATTATTTTTTGTTTTAAAACGAATTTTTTTTGTGACCATTTCAATGGTTGGAAATAGTGTTGATGTGGCATGTAAGTTGATACATTAAAAAAATAATAATAAAAAAAAATCAGTGTTTACTCTCCATTTTGTTTTTAAAAGTCACTAGATTATATTTTTTCGATTTCAAGCATCTTGATCCCTAGTGTGTATAAATGTATTGGAAATGGTGTTGATGTGGCATGTAAGTTGATACATTAAAAAAATAATAAAAAAAATCAGTGATTACTCTTCATTGTGTTTTTAAAAGTCACTAGATTATATTTTTTTCGATTTCAAGCACCTTCGTCCCTAGTGTGTATACATGTATTTGGTGATATACTTGTTTGGTATTTATTGATTAAGATAAAGTTTGGATACGATTTTGTGTCCAAACCCTCTCTTAGGCTTGAGGAAGTGGACTCGCCGCCCCTCTTGCTAAACAAGTCACTAACATATCAAACACCACCATTTAGGGTTCGTTAAAGGAGATGTTAAGAATTGACCGCCAAACAAGAAGCAAGAGGAAATAAGAGAAAGAAGATGTATTGGTTCATAGTTATTGTTTTTTTTTTCCTTTCAAAATAAACCTTATTAATTTAACATAACACCACTTCTTACCGGATGCTAAGAGAGAAAAATGATGCAACTATCAAAAAAAGAGGTGGCAATGTGCTAAGAGTAAGAGTGTTATCATTTCCCTTAGCCTTAAGTATTATTCCGTTAAGAATTTCTACGATTCCCACCTGAATTTTGCGATTAATAATATCAAAAAGGTCCTAGAATTCTAAAAAATAAAATTCATCCGGTGTACAAAATATACGTGTATAAATCCCATTTTTTAGTATTTTAAGGTTTATATGACCAGATAAACTTACGCTATTCCATTAGGCTACTGGATGTGGGCAACATGTTATCACATCCAAAAAGTCCACCTCGTAATCTTAGTCATATTTTTGGTGTTATAACACCTAGGAGTGGCAAATCGGGCTATTGTGTCTTGTTTTTGTCTGACACGACACGACACGACAATGTTTTAGGTAACACGAACACGACACGACAATACGGTATGATGTCGTGTTTTTTTTAACTAACATGCAAACGAACCAATTAAAAATGAGAAACACAAACGACACAACAAATATATCATAATATAGCAATTAGTTTATTTAATTAATATTTAATCACACATAACATGAAAAA